AGTTCTATAAAGACACGTCACACTCATCGATGGAACAACGGATTATAATATTGCAATATTTTCAAGGAATATCAATATCGCCGCCGCAACTAATATTTAATTAGCACGGCCAACGGTTTGTTATTAAATTCCACCGACAGGACGCGCGTGTTTACGTATGTTAGTGGTGCAGTCGGCATTTTGAGTTTGGGGGGAGGTGTGGTTGATAATTCGTTATATTATATTAACGAAGAGGCTTATAGAATATCTTATAAGTTTGGTATGCTGACCCAAGTAACACATAAATGTTCTTAATATATTATAAGAATATTCATAAAGAAGATATGTATTATTCGTGGATTATTCGTGATTGTTATATAGTTGTTCTATAAATCTGCTTACGGTCTGCAAAACTAGCAAAATGAGCCGATTATAGATACTCTATGAATATTATTCTATCTTCTATAAATATTTTTTAAGAATATTCAGGTCATATACCCAAATATTCATATAATAATCATTGGATGATTATTGCAAATTGCTTAATTCATATTAGAAGAATATTCTTACTAACAATTTTATAGTTATTCTTTGAATATTCATTGACTAACTAGGATATTATTAGAATATTCATAGCAAACATATGTATTAATCGTAGATTATTCATAATATGTGCTCTTTATATATCCTTACATTCAGCAGAACCAAAACTTGCAAAATAAGCTGACCATATATTTATATCTAGAGATATTCTATCTTCTATTAATCTTTTTCAAGAATATTCATTCCATATCTCTAAATAATAATAATACCATTATAATTATGAGTACTATATTCATAAATCATAATCAATGTTTATATGTTAATGTTAATGTTAATACCTACATAATATAATATAGGTACTATAAATATATCCATCTATATATAGGTATGATATTATTATGGTATCTATCTTTAAGATCAAATAAATTTTTACAACTTCGGTATTTCTAATTAATAATATATAAAACATCATAAATGAAGAACAAAACTTTTTATTTATAAATCTGAAGTGTTAAAATTATAATGGAGTTTCTGCTGCTTGTTTGCACCTTTCATTTGCTTTGGTAAGCCAAATACTTGCCACCAGCTTAATTTGTTTGATAGAAGTATCAGCATTGTTGGCGGATGAATGGATAGCCTCTAATAAACATAATAATTTATAATTTTATTAACTAGTTAACCTTTTAAGCCTATTTTATTACCATTGCAAATTTATCATATATACAAAGCATGTTAATATACAAGTGTCTAAAATAAGAGATGAGTATAAGTAGGTAGTACTTAATATAATAAGTATAGTCGCAATCAGTTGGCCCCAATCACCTAATTTATCATAGTAGAATTTTTAGATGAGGGAGAGGGAGGCTACTGCAGAGTACTGCAGGATTTACATTAAAACATATAAAAATAAATTATTAAACATTGCATTATGTAGGTGCTTTGATTGCACCTGATTGATAAATTAAAAAAGGGGGTGATGGGGGCCCTTTGATGTACGATGGCATAATATATTTTAAACACTTTGGTGCTACTGATTGCAACCAACTTACAAACAATCATCTTTTGCATAATATTTTAACTCATAAATAATAGGTAACAGGAAATAGCCTGTTTTGGATAAAATACTTATTAAATATATTCTAAATAAAATTTGAATAATTTGTTTTCTTTTGACATAATAAGCGGTGTTATTTTTTTTTAACAATTTTAACAATAACAATAATTTTGTTGTAATTATTTATTGTTTTGTGAAATACTTAAGTCTGGGAATAGGGTTGTATATTGAAAAACAAATTATGAATAAAAAATAATTTAAAATGCTCACTAGTAAGTAATGATGCTAGAATAGTATTGTTCAAAGCAGTTTTGTTATTCTTGTGCCCCGTGTAACTGAAAGATTTAGCATAATCATTGGTTATTAACTTTCTTAATATCCGTCTGACTGACTCTTTAAAATTAGATCCACCAAGCAAGGCCAACATTTTCACCTAAATTTCAAACAAATTTTTATACACAATTATTTAAATTAATGTTATAATTTGCCTATAATAACTTACCATTTTATCATATAATGGTTTATTGTTAATCAAAGTTTCTTTAAAGTTTGTTAGTGATAACTCATTTGATATCGGAAGCATTGCACATACATTTTCAAGCTCATCATTAGTAGCTGATGATACTGCAATAGATGAAATTTGTTTATCTTGCTTCTCTTGAATGTTGTTAACTACCATCATTATTGTATGAAGGTAGTCACCTTGTTCTTTACATCTGGCGTTTAAAGTAATAAGTTGTCTTAAGATCTGTGTTTCAACTTCTATAATAATAATCATAATAATATATTTAGGTATGTGGTAGTGTAAATTACCTAATAAGAACATTTAAAACTGAACCAAGCAACCAGCAGGCTGACACCAATGTTTCATGTTTAAAAAATTATACATTTGCTTATTATTTAACATACAATTATTTTAGTATTTTTAAAAGTGGGTACAGTATTTTTTTACTACGTAGATACCTAATAGGTAATATAATGTTTATGATTGATAAAATAATAACATGTTAGCTAGAATATTTAATAGAAATATCTGATTAGAATTATAACTAAGCTAATTATAATGTAAATTATTAACATTAAAAAAAATATTGTACAACAATTTTTCAAATTCTTTGAACTACCTGAAGAAATGTGAGTTTTCTGTTTGTTTTGAGGAACTGACACTAAACTCCCAAAATCTATATCACTAAGATTAATTTCTTGCATGGTCACTGCAGTTTGATTATTAACTGTGTCTTCTAAATCAAGAATAATTTAAAATTACATTTTACTTATAATGTATGAAGTAGAGAAATTCATTAAAAACCATATAATTGTCTAATGTTGATAAACATGTACAGTAAAATTTAAAATATATATCTAGATAAATATTTAAGATTAAAGCAAAGAACACAAGATCTTGTGAAATAATAAATTAAACAAATACTATTATTTAATTCAATGTAAATGTAGTGTTTAGGACTTGGACAATTTGTAAAAATTCAAAATAAAATCAGTGGTTAAAGTGGGGAACACTTTAAAGGGGACTATAGTCAACAAAAATGTAGGAGCATTCAGGAGTGTTCACCAAAGTCTGTAATCTAACCAAACTGTTTTAAGACCCCCACAAGGACTAATGTCTAAACATATATTATATTTTTCTTTCACACACCTATTTGATTATTAACAGTTAATGGGATGTAAAAACAAATTCCTCCTAAGAAAAATAATACTCTACACTTATTATGCCTGCTTAGTAAAAAAAAATTTCAATTCATATCCTGAAATGTTAAAAAAAAATGTATTTAAATTTTAAAGTTATTTTATTTTTATATATTTCATTTAAAAGACAAATAAAAACGAATTTATATTGAATATTGTGATAATAAATGTCTTGTTAAGCTTCCCCCCCCTAGACTTCGGAGACTTAAATTAGAGACACCTCATAATCTTGCCTTAAATAAGAAGGGAGGATCTGTCTAACCACTGAATGAAATTAAGTCAAATTACATTAATTAGTATTTTAAATAACAAATATTAATATTCTTTGGGTCTAGATCCACACTTTGCATTACACTTTGGATATTTAAGGGGTACCTAATATAATTTTAAAGTATGTTGTATACAAAATAAGTTTTATGTTCAAAAATGTTCAAATAACTGTACCTGGAAAATTGTAGTTTTGGTTTTTGTTACCACTAACAGATGGCAAATTGTCTGATCCATTACTAACCCCAATGTCATTGTTATCAATAACTGTAAATGATTCATCTAAGGATTATAATTTATATTAATACACTGATTAGTTGATTATTTATCATTTTAGTTATATTGCTTCACTCAAGTCAAATATGAATTGTCTTTAACAATTAAAATCACTAATGATATACTAAGTGAAATTAAAAATTAAACCATTGCAGAGAAATTTATATAATTAATAAATAGGTGAATTTTTTTAATTATTGAAGCTAATGTAACCGTACTTGGTATTATTACCAATAAAAATATTCTTATTATACCTGAAGAGACACAGTTTTGATTATTAGATATTGTACATCTAAAACCATCACTGAGATCAATATTTTGGTTATCTTCGTCATCGATAACTGCAAACAACAAAAACAATTATTTAAGATATATAGAAGAACTTAATTTAAAAGCTAAACAATTGATTGCCTAACATGTATCATATTCAAATCATGCATGATACAATTAAAAAAAAAAACAACATACCAAAAATGCTTTGATTTTCATTAGATACCACGTTTAAATCATCATTTAGACTACATTCTATATTATGTGAAACATCTATACTGGATTCGTTTTCTTTGTAATCATTTTCTAAAAAAAAAAAAAAAATTGTATTTTAATATAATATAAAGGTATCTTAGGAAAAACAAATGAATTAATAAAGTATATCTTACTTTTGAATTTTGGGAATGGTGGAAGTTCATTATCTGATAGGTTTTCATCACTACTTGGTCCACTGCTACAATCAATTTGTTTATTCTTTTTTTTGCGTTTAGTTGATGTTTTTTTAGCAGTTAGTTGTTCACTTTCTGATGAACTTTGAGCAAGGGTCTCATTAGCAAATTTAGAAGCATCCTTATACACGGTAAACATTTTGTTGCATATGACTTTTATGGGATACAATTTCCAATCTTTTTCTGGATTTGCACGGTTTTTTATGGCCGATTGCAATTTAATTGAACCAAATTTTAAAGGCCAGAAACATGCTTCAAAGTTCTTAATCCAATTACTTGGAATTACTTCAATTATATTTTTTTCATTTTTAAATTTTACAACATACCAGCCGGCAGACATCTTTTAATGATTAGTAACTGTAACTTAATAATATAAATTGTATTTACAGAATATATATATATGGTTAATTAATTATGTACAGAAATGTTAGCTTAATCTATATATAATATATTATTCTTCACTCTTCAGTATGAAGTAGTGGCATTACTACAAATCCTTTAGCGTGAGGTAAACGAATTAATTTATGAAGAATGTTTGGCAATGGCCAATATGAAAAACATTCACTTAAACCATCAACAAGATGAATGCCAATTAATGAAGAATTCAAAGGTTTTGTGTACAAGTTATTTACATTGTTATATTTTCGACCTATAACAACAACTTGATCCAGTTTCTTACAGTAAGCAAAATTTGAAATTTCAATTATCGAATTACAATCTAATTTACAACAAGAATTCTGTAAATTGATACTTAATTTAAAATTGGAAAAAATAACTTCTTTAAATTGAGGATCAGTAGTACCATCTATTAAAATGCCATCACTGTGTTCTTTTTTGAATTTAAAACTACCTTTTTTTATTTTATGTTCTAGTAATGTGTGTAAAGTACTTTCTTCTGATAAACGTCGAACTATTTGAGATAAAACATTATTATGTGTTCTTAAAAGTTTTTTAATTTTTTGAAGGTAATTTTCAGAAGAAAAGTTACTAAATAAATTTAAGTTTCCATATTTTCTAGCATCGTCAGTAATATGTAAAAGGTTGTGAAAATTATGGGATAATATTTGAGGACCATAAATCAATTTAGATGATAGAATAAAATGTTTTAATAGCTCTTCAGCGTAATCGGTCATTGTTTTCATTAATAAATCTGACAATAAAATACGTATAGCAACATGAAGAGTTAAAAAATGTTCATACTTATTTTTATCTAAATTATTTTCTAAAACAATAACTCCAGTATATAAAAGAAATTGTCTTAATTCTGTAGCTTTGTACCGTTTAGCTTCTTTAATAGGCCTTGGTTTTCTTGCAAACTCGTAAGGAATATATTTAATAAGGCTTAGTAATGCATCAGATATTATATTAACAGATCTCGATTGTAATTTATGAGGAGGTCGACCAAAACACCATATGTTAACTAATAACTTTTTAACAACTCCCAGACATATCAAGTGCATATAGTCCAATAGGACATCAGTAACTAGGCCTAAATTGGGAATTTTTTGTAAAATTGTCTGGCCAGTGTGATGTTCTGGATCAGTTTGATTAATAAAATCAGTATCAGTCCTTTTATTAAATGTCATATCAGGAAAAACAACATGATCTAAATATTCTCCCTCTTGCATACATTTCGAACAGGAGGAATATCCACTATGTCCCTTAATTCGAAGTACACTAGCCTTAGCAACCGCATCAAATAACAACATTGAAATTTTGAAACTGAAATATTTATCATCAATGTGTACACCATTTAATGTTAAATTAACAGCTTCATTTACAAAATCTTCTAGCAATTCATTAAAATCTGACGGTTTATCATACCCATGGTAGATACCAATACAAAATATATTTAAAGGTAATAAAATATCAACATTTGTTATCAAACACAAAATAGGATATACTTGACTTTGTGATGAGTCACTGAGAGGCAATCCATCAATATTAATAGCAACATTAATAACATCAGGAATATTGGAAACATTTACTTTTTTTAACATATTTGTAAGACCACTTTCTAAACCAAAATGGTAGTATTTTCCAGGATTTATATCACGCAAAATAGTTTCTCTTGGTGTTTTTAAAAAAGTCCTAGGATCTTTTGGAATACTGCTTAAATCTGGTATTTCCTTTAGAATTGATAATAATTCCCTTAATGCAACATGAGAAATTTTATTCCTAATAGCCCATTCTCGCAAATGATCAGGAATAGGTATTTTTGAGTTTCCAAAAACATTATCATTTACAAAATTGTTTAATGAACTACATTTTGGACTAGTTGAAACAAATTTTGTAAAAGAAACATCATCATTTTCAATGAATGTATCTAATGAAACACCAGATATATTTGAAACATTATTTTTTACAACAAAGAAATCATTTGGCAAACCTACAAAATTAGGCTGATATGAAGTACTTGCTGCAGTACTAGGATTACATTGAGTAGGTAATAAAATAGATAATGTTGTATTGTTTTTTCTTATGACATCCAAAGTTTCAAGTTGCTGTTTTATATTTTTATTAAATTGGGACTTAGAAGTTAGGCGCATTTTTTTAATAGAATTACACTTTTCAGAATCCATAGTTAACTACAAATAAAAAATAAAAAAATTCCAAATTAGAAATTATATAAACTATTTCAGATTCTTTTTTTGTGTATTTAATATAATACAAATTGAAATAAGACCACAAAATAATAAAATTGTACTGGAAGTTAATATTTATGTAACTATTGAAAACTTTAATAATTAAAACTGATATTTTAACTATTTTTAATAGAATTGTCTCTTATATAAATACCTAGTGTATATTAGTATGGTAGGTAAGTACTATTAATATCACATTAATTACTGAACGTTATAAAACAAATATAAGTACCTTATTGCACTTATTGCACTTATTTTATTCTTGAGCTAAACAGATAAAGAGTTAAAAAAATAAATGGTTGGTCTCATAACAATAATTATATAAAAACTGAATTATTAGCCTACGTTAACATATTATGTAAAACTATTAAATACAGTGAAAACTCATTACAAAAAAAAAAAGTAATTACGATTCACGTTGTATTTGGGGCTTAATAATTCTATATTAATAAGTAGGTATCTAGATTATTTATAGATACCTACATACAGTAAAATATTATTTAAATTTTAAGTTTATAGTTAACTATAATATATTCAAACAATAATTAATATAGGTACAATACCTAGGTACTTACAACTGTATAGTTGTCGGCACAGGGTCGATGCCGATGGCGGCACAACGAATTCGGAATTAAGAGTAAACTTTCACGTTTCACTAGGTACACGATGGAGTAAAGACGAAACGCTTCGTCACGCCAACGGCCAAAAGTCAAATCAATCAATCAATGCACTTAACGGCTATATAACAGCTATAACGAATTTAACGGTCCATACACCAGCATCATGGAACAGAATACGTAAGTCGCAAAGGCGATAGACCGTCGAACGAATATACCGCGTGGCGTGAACGGGGAACTGGGGAAGGTAGCCGCTTCTAGAATATTCTACGCCGACAGCGCTGTCGGCGGACCAGTTGTACTTTCGCCCGGCGGGTAAACCAGCAGACCCCGAGTAGCTTCCCCGCCAAATATTTTTGAATTTTGATAATAAACAGATACCTATACCTAATATCATCTATAAATTGTTGTATGCCAATATTATTGATATTTTTTTAATTTGTATAATGATACAGCTTATTATATACACTGTTTATATCCTATTATTGCCCAACAGACCGGATTAGCGTATAAGATTTTAGATTTGATATTAGTAGATTTTGAGAAGAAAATGATTGCAATTATTTTAAAATACATATAGGTACTTAATTCAAATTCTCTTTGAACTAATGATAAATCTGTTTTAATAGGTCCTATTCAAAACGTAATTTTTGTACATATTATAATATAGGTAGTACCTAATAATATACTATATACACTCAATATAGTTTTCAAAATGTTCAAATATACATTCTTATATTCCCGTGTAGGTACCTACCTACACAAGTTATGTGTGAACGAGTATTTTACAAACTTAATATCAAATACCAAATTAAATTATTTTTTACATGGTCGGACTGGCATCAAAAAGCCCAGTCCTATTTTGATTCAGAGGTCACTTCTCAGGTCAAAACATTCCAAGCAAAAACAAAAATTAAGCTCGATATAATTTAATACACGGGCTGAATTCCTACCTCATAAAGGTTAACATATAAGTACATAGGTAACATGATATATAATAATAATTAATCAAATGCTTACTTACCGACTTATAATAAAACGAACAACTCATATGATACTCGATATTATATTATTCATTAAATTGACGTATTGACGTCAATCAAAACGTTCGAACGGCGAACAAGCGCGTGTGAAATTGAATATGAAAATAAGATCACAGATTTATAACAACGATGAACGAAATGACCGCGCGGCGCACATTACTATTTATTATAAACAAAGGAAATCCATGGACGTTAATTTTATAAAAACAAATCACATTTATTCAATGATAACAATAATAGCAATACCACAATATTATTATGAGTCTCGAAAGTTTCACACGCATTTAATAAACCCTGGTGTTCAATAATAATCCCTGTTATTATTTAAATATAATAGATTAGTGAGTACGAGTACCTACCTACTTTATATATATATAAACAAACGTTGTAATTTTATAAATAATAAAGAATTATTTATGTATTATTATTAGATGAATATCCATTACATATGATGGTAACTATTATTCATTAAGTATTCTTAATTGGATATTTTTTTATGGATATTCAATTCAGATTATTCAATGGATATTCAAAAATGAATAATAAAAAAAAAATAAGAATGTATTATTTTTAACGGAATATTCATTTCATCAGTTATGGTAGAATAAGTAATACCATTGAGTATAGATAGTATACTATCTATACTCAATGGTAATACATATTCTTCAGCGAATATTCTTTTAAGATCAATATTTTACCATGAATATATTGTGATTATTTAGATAAATCTTCAGCGAATATTCTAGAAATAATTATATATGATTTAAATGTATTATTAATAGAATAAACAAAATTGAAGAACGATAGACCATGATATGAATATCCGGTGTTACTTGGGGATGCATGTGTAGATAACATTTTGCACTTTTGCACTTTT